CTACCATGGTTACGGTGAAACTAATTTATTAAAACATAGGACAAAAACCATTCACTCTTCCTGAATCTATGCATATTCCAGGAGCTGTTGGCAACCATTCAGTCTTTCTGAATCACAGAAATATTTCTATGACCAAGCAATAGAAAATAAATTAGGAAAGAATATAATGGGAAAAGGATGGCATCCGAAAATGATCAGGAAAGAAATGATAACAAGACAAAACTGAGAACAGAATGCAGATAGGAGGCAAGGGTAATGGAATGATACGATGTCTTGCTATTGGTCTGATTAAAAGTAATCAATCATAAACCCTTGACATTTCATAGATCATATTAGAGAAAGATATGCCTCAGGGGAGGCACAGGAACTACACAAGCAGCAATCTAAGCTGAAAAAGATTTGACATAATTTTCTCGCGTAAATATATACAAGGTAACAAATGCTTTTCACAAATAATTATTGAACTTCGTTGTCGAGGCTGAAAACAATAGTATTGAAAATTTCAGCCCCCCCACATTCCAAATCCAATCATTAGGTGCAGGACACCTTCCACTCGTTCTTGAAACTTCAAATACACGAAAGCTAAAAAATTTCCAGTGCAGAGCTAAACAATTCCAAACATATTTAAAGGGCAAGCAATGCTTCAATCCTCAGGAAACCAACAATAAAAATTTTCCTGCTCTTACTGTAGCATGGAATGTCAATACTCAAATACCACCCGCTTCTCCTTCATAAAGAGGCTAGTTAACTCCCAAGAAGAAGAAGAAGAAGGAGAAGGAGATATAAGCACATTTTATACATGACCAGTGAAAGTAGAACACCACTCAGAAGTTGAGAAATACCCATCAGAGTGAAAGATAAAAATTAAGCGAAAAATCTTACCTTGCCGTCAATAACGACCCAGCAATCATCTTCGGTGTTGTGCTGGGAAGCCTCTAGCATCGTATAGAGCTTGGCAAGGGTTGGCATGTTTGCTAGTCTTCTGGCCTTTGACGCTTCAGAGTTGAGAGAGAGCTTCGCTAATGGGAAGAGGCAGAAATGTGCAGTAGCTCTCTTTCCTCTGACTGTCGCTGCCTTCCCCTCGCTACCCTCTTCCACCAATCACTTGCCTTTGTTGAATTCTTCAAAAAAAAGGAAAATACTCTCAATCCGCCTTCTCCGAATTAATGGGCTCAAGGCCCAATAGGCTGACCTGGGCTTGACCATTCTTCCAGCCCATTACTATATAACTGGATCATAAGATTGCAAAAAAAAAAGGGTCACTTACAGTTTGTTGTCTTGACAAAAATTTGATTGTAAAACCTATTTTCTAAAAAAAACTTGTAATTTTACTGTCAACCATCAAAAAAAATGAAAGAAATTAATGAAAATATGTGCATAGCTCACTTTTTTCATTATTATTTCTTTTAATGGATGGATATTTTATTTTAAATATTTGAATTGTTTTTCTCAAATATTTACAGAAAAAATATTTCAACATCTTCATACATCGGATAGAGGGTTAAGATTGCAAGCAAAAAAGTGCGGATAATTAATGAGAGACTAGTCAATAATTAATAGAAGCAAAAAAGAAATGATATTAAATTTTTTAGATAAGTTATTAGTATCTTACTCTAAATTTTAATAAGTTATTAGTATCTTACTACTATCTTTTATAAAATAGTGACGGACCATTGTAAAAGCATTCTTTTATACTCCTCTGGCTAGAAAGAAAAGATTTGTTTTTAAAAAAGTTCATTAATCACCCTACCAGTGACTTATTTTAGGAACAAACTTTTTTCCTACGAGTGATTTATAAATAAGAACAAAATAATATATTAAATAAAGATAAAATTAAAAAGTTATTAAATCTTAAGACATGATTAATATGAGGTTTCAGTTTCTCTTGATTATAATAAAATACTACTTCCGATCCTAATTATAAGAGCCAATGACTAATTTGAGAAGATTAAAGAAGCAAGTTAAGTTAGTTATTTGTTCTAAATAAGTATTGTCTTTCCTAAAATATCATTGCTAATTAAGTGTATTGACTAGAACTATAATTATTACAAGGACTATCTTGGAAAAAATTGAGTAAATATGAAAGACAAAATGGATTAGGGTCTTATATTTAGGATCAAAATAAAAATCAAATAGGGCCTTATATTAAGGATCGAAGGTAGTATATTAAAAGTAACTTATAAATAAGATAAGAGAAGTATATAATACCAGAGAGTATGACAGAAATTTATGATGAGATATTGATGGAGCAACAAAGAAGCAATAATGGCGAAGTGACATGTACAAATGAGAATGAACATGCATGTTGGCTGCATGGGAGAATTGAGACACTTCGTTAGCAGAGAACGACAAATTGTAAAAGGCAATGAGAATTTGATGAATCATCATCATCTCTTCTGCTTCTTCCTTACAGAAGATATTGCATGCATGTGGCCATAAGTGCTAAAAGCTTCTTACTCTGCTCTTTTTATCTGATAAAGATGGCTTCCTCATTCATCATTTCTGTTCATCATTGGCCTCTCCCTAACATTATATAAACATCCTTTTCAATTTCGAATTAATTTACACGTGTCAAATCTATAACATCATGCCCCGGTTACTTTTAAAACATCCATAAAAATTAATCCAGTCGATATAAATGCGACTCATAAATATCTTACAAAGATGAGGGGTGGAATCCTCACAGATACTGTTCCATCCTTTATTATAAGATCTTTTTAATTAAATTGTCTAGTTTAAGAAAGCGGGTAAAATTAGTTAAAAACAATTAATATGCAGCAGATGCAATTTTTTTCCAAATATATTCCTATATATAAACTGGTAGATGTGAGAGAGTAATAGTGAGATAAATAAATAAATAGTGTATTAAATGCATTAAACTAGAGGTAAAATAGGTAATAATATATTAAATATTCAGACAAATTCAAGAGTGATATTATAAAAAAAGACAAACTTATTCAAAAAATTAAATCTTATAATAAGAAACGGAGGAGTAATATATAACTATTTTTTGTAAATGCCATGCAAGCGAGGCTCGTCTTTTTATAAATGATTAATCAGATTTGAAAAGTACTTAGTAAAAATTTGAATATATGTATGCATGTATAATTATTTAACAAATTGAAAATTAAGATATTTAGTATTTAGGAGAAGGAAAATTTGATATTAAAAGAATATTCTAGAGAAGCATACAAAATGTTCACTCATGCAAACTCTAATTATTACAGAAGAAATACAGTAACATACATATTGCCCTAAATAATGAGGGAAGTGATATTTTGGTAATATTAATATCAATTAGTATAAGCAGCAAGACACGCAGACACATCACATCTTTTTGGTGAATCACTCTTAATTATAATGCTATATGTTGGTGAAGATAAGCCATCAATAGGGTTAGCTTTCACATTTCCATGCATCCGATATTAATCTTCTTATATATATATATATATATATATATATGTATATGTAATCCTCAAATTAAATCTTATTTTTAATTCATACAGCTCTAGCAAACATGCAAAGGTTTCTTCAAAATATTTATATATGGTACATGTACATGATGATTCAGTATATGCCATGTAGGCATCTCTACAATATTTCACTCTCCACAAGTATGCTTCATATTATTAGTTTGCTAATTAATAATATTTTTTTAGTGCTTTTTTATTTTTATTTTTCTGATAAGAATTCACCCCAAAATAGCAATTTAACTTCAAAACTTAAAATTGAATTTGTGAAGTGAAAATAATATATTAAAGTTTTATAACGTATTTATCAGATAAACTTAAAAAAAAAAAAAAAGACACAGAAGGTTTTGGCCTAAAAGTGAATCACCTGGATCACACTTGAGTAGAGAATTGTACTTTTTTTCCCCCCTTTTTTATGGTATACACAATTTTAACCAATTTCAAATTCTTTGACCAAAATGCCCTTGATCATCAAAAGATTTAAATTGAATTAAAATTCAACACAATTTTTATTCTAAAAAATATGTATAACTTTTATGGGGGTTCACAAAGACAAGTATTTTGCTTATTTTCCCATGTCATCCATATCAGATTAGGTAATGCTTCAGTATATATATTTGGAATATCCAATTGTAAAAATTCATTATATGAAGTAGTTTGAAAATACTTTGGTACGCTTAATTTTCAGAAAATTATTGCCCAATGTATAAAACAATTTACCTATATACATTAAAAGTTAAATTTGATGTGAAATTAGGATGACATACCAACTCTAGTATTTTTCTAGAGGGCATATAATTAAGCTTCAGAAACATCATGGTAGGTCTTCAATTAATTCTGCATCATAACCACTTTGAAACAGATTGTATTTCCTATAACCAAAAATTTAAGCCAAATTAGCCTAAACAAATTGGCAACATTAACGTCATAAATAATGTCCAAGATTCCTAAAGCCTCCAAATCCTATTTTTAGACACAATCCCAGGAAGTTAATCTTAAAAGCAGATCATATGGGCATGTAATGTGCAACTAAGTGCGTTCTATCACAAATTTTGATGCTAGTTATATCCAAAAAAAAAAAACCATAAAAGTGAGTTAATTGAGATCCATACAAGCTGATTCAGACACAAACTAACGATAATACAAACAAAACAAGATCTACACACGAAAACAGAGGAAAAGGGACATCATTATGAGACTAATAACATCTGGGGCAGGGAAGATTCGGTAACAGAATTTAAGTTAATATCGTTAAGAGATTTAAGGAACATATATACTTAAAATAGGTTCTAGTGAGAGATATGATGATCATAGAGCAGGTGGTGGGGTTGCAACATAGTTTGGCCTATTTAACATTAATGTCCTTCCCATCTTTTTCTTGAGCACAGTCTGTGTTTCAGATTCATACACACACAGACACAGAAAAAATATATTGCTCAAAGATTTTGGAGCAGCATCATGCTGATGTCAATGCCATTATCATCAATAGTGTTTTTGTATAGTGGGTTGGGTTTGGCGTTTTGTGCATTTATGGTACTTCTGAAATGGAATGATATAAGGTACAGAAGAAAAGGTGTGCCACCAGGAACAATGGGTTGGCCTGTCTTTGGTGAGACTTCAGGGTTTCTCAAACAAGGACCTGATTTCATGAAAGCCAAGAGAGCTAGGTAAGTTTCATTTCCCTCTTATTTTTCAATTTACAGGTGACCTCTTTTTGCTTTTTCTGAATAACAAAGTTTTAGGAAAGTTAGGTCTCAAGAGTTTACGAGGTCAAGGACTCAAGGTAGGGTCTCATAGCTCAAAACAACATTTGTATCAGTATTTACAAATTATTCATTGACAAGATTCTTATTAGTAGTGGCATTTGGATCCATGTTCTTGTAGGATATGAGTTGCATCCTTACCTGGCCAACTTTTGTTGGTGGCCTTTTTAATGTGTGTGTGTGTTTTAGTTGAACTTAGATGTGAAGTCATTCTTCAGTATACAGTAGGAATTGTTCTGCATTACCATTAAAATGTGAAGTTTTTGTTGGCTTTTTTTTTTCCCCCTTTCTTTTTGTGATTGAGCAAAGCCAAGAACTATTCTGTTGAGTGTAGTTAAAGAAAGAAAGCAAAAAAAGAACAAGGTGAGGTCCACTTGAGTAGGTTTTGTCTAGGCCTTTCCTTCCCTTTTACGAGCATAACGTGCAGTACTAGTCCTTATAAAGTTGTTAAAAAGATAACTAGTATATCTAAGGTTATTTTAGATTCCACTTAATATAAAAGTATCTTCTACCCATAAGAAAAAGATAACGGCACCTTACTAATTCTGTACAGTCTTCTGAATGGAAAATTACTTCATCTCAAGTTTTTATGTATCTAATGTCACTTCAAATGGTTAAATAAGGGTGTGCCATGAGGGCTCATTCATATTTGTGGAAAACAATTCTGTGATGAGATCTATAAGCACCCTAAACCATTAAACTTGTGTGCCCAAATTATTAAAGGCCATACACAACCCTCTCAAAGGCAAATAAAGGATTTAGAAACCTAGAAGAGTCCAAGCTTCTGAATTAGACTTAAGAAGTATACCTAGAAAACAAACCTCCTCCTCCTCCCACCTTGCAGAAATCAAACAGAGACAAATATTTGGGAATTCAGAGACAAAGAAACCACATGATGAAGAAAGAGCAGGAGGAAATACAAAACTCTAATGGAGGATTTTCAATTTCTGTTCCTGAATTATTATCCTGGCATATATATACAACCCATCAATGTTCTTATCACAATGTTCTTTCTGTAGGTATGGAAATATGTTCAAGACTCATGCATTAGGGTCTCCTACCGTTATAAGCCTGGATCCAGATGTGAACAAGAACATCCTCTTGAATGAAGCACAAGGCTTGATTCCAGGGTACCCTGTGTCAATGAGGAACATCCTAGGGAATAACAATATTGCTGCAGTTCATGGTGACTTTCACAAACGTATCAGAGGTTCATTGTTGTCTCTCGTTGGTCCACCTGCAATTAAGGATCATCTTCTGATAAGAACTGACCAGTTTATGAGGTCCTTCCTTCACAATTGGGCTGGTCAGACTATTGATATTCAAGACAAAACCAAACAGGTTATTCTCCACTTCAATCCCCAGAACTCTCCACAGAAAACACAGATTATTCATTAATCTTTATCATTCTTGTATCCGATGCCATCTGATCCTCCATATGTTAACCCCCAAACACTTGTATCAGACATTATATGGCTCTTAAAAGTTATACCTTAAAACTTCATTGTTTTTAGTGTGGTAAAGTCAATGTATATCTCCTGTCAGTATCCATTTCTTTGTTTCTTGCGTTCTGAATATTCATTCAGCAAAGGGGATCAATTTAAAGGTCATTACAAACTAAACAAATGCTTAAATTCCTTGGTTTCTTGTTTTAGATGGCATTCTTTGTCTCAATGAAGCTGATTGTAGATGATGAACCAAAATCCTTCCACAAGGCATTTAAAGCTACATTTGACAACATATTGTTAGGAACTATATCCCTGCCAATTAAGATTCCAGGCACCAGTTACTACATAGGACTTCAGGTGATATATAGTGAAAAATTCTCTATGATTTTCACTCTTCTTCTTCTTCAATGGATGCCAATTTGAGCAGTGTCAAATTGCGATAATATTCAGGCAAGAGAAAAAGTCAATGCAATTTTGAAGGAGCTTTTAGCCAAGAGAAGAGCTTCTGCTGATCCTCATGATGATATTCTTGACAAGCTTTTGACATGGGAGGACCCCAAGTACAAACTCAACGATGAAGAGATAATTGACCAGATCATTACAATCTTGTACTCAGGTTATGAAACTGTGTCAACCACTACAATGATGGCTATCAAATATCTCCATGATAATCCAAAAGTCCTTCAGGAACTACGAGTAAGTCAACAACTTTTGAACTGATAAAATCTCCTACTTACAATCTTGAACTGAGTTCTAAATCTTAACCATCACAATTTTTAACCTAATATACAGGAAGAACATTTTGCAATCCTAGAAAGAAAAAGATCAGAGGAACCACTCACTTGGGAGGACTATAAGAACATGAGTTTGACTCGCGCGGTAGATATCCTTTTACTTCATTCATGTTAATTTAAGACCATGTTATGATTAGCTTAGTCTATAGATGTGCATTAAGCTATGTATGTTTTTACACAAGGCACTATTGGATCATGCAGGTTATTCTTGAAACCTCCAGATTGGCCAGTATCGTGAATGGGGTACTCAGAAAGACTAATACAGATGTAGAACTGAATGGTATATTTATAGTCTAGATCTTCAAGATATTTTCTGAGATAGGTCTGGTTTATAGTATATTGACAATGGAATATGGATGTAAAATTTACATGACAGGATTTAAAATTCCAAAAGGATGGAGAGTTTATGTGTACACCAGGGAGATAAACTATGACCCCTTCTTGTATCCAGAGCCTTTCAGTTTTAATCCCTGGAGATGGCTGGTGAGTTTGCCTGATCAATGAAAACCATTTTACCATCTATCAAACAGAAGGAAGACAGTTTCCATCACTCTTTTTTTTTTTTTTTTAACCTTTTCCTTAAATCCCTTTTCCATGTACCAAACATAGCCTAAAGGCAAACACTTTTTTGCTAATGAAATGATATATCTGATTAAATGAATGTAGGAGAGAAGTCTGGAGGCTCACCACCACAACATGCTGTTTGGATCAGGAGTTAGGATGTGCCCAGGAAAAGAATTGGGCATTGTTAAAATCTCTGTTTTCCTTCATCACTTTGTTACCAAATTCAGGTTAGTACTTTCTTTCATGAATCCGCACAAGTCTATTTCTTTTTTTTTAAAACTTCTGAGCAAATTAATATGCATTGATGGTTGATTGTAGGTGGGAAGAAGAGGAAGGAAATGAACTTCGCAAGTTTCCAAGAGTTGAAGCACCAAATGGATTAAAAATAAGGGTCACAGAGTACTGGAAAATCAAGCATTGAAGAAAGTGTATGAGGAAAATAAATTATCCATAACAAATTCCCAAATCAAAGTTTCTTTTCTCTTCTTTTTAAAAAAATCTGTTTGTGTATGAGAAGTTTAATGTATTAGTATTAGGTTTCGACTTTCAAGACCTGATTAGCTGTTTAAAATAATAGGTCCTGTATCATATATCTATTTTGCTTTGTTTTAATATTATACCTGGATAGTTCATAATCATATCATATCAAATGGATACTGTATTTCTTTTACTTTTCCTTGCTGTGGAGTAATAGCGTGTTTCCTTCTGCCGATGATGCTGATATCAAAATTATATCAAATATTTGTTTTTTTTAATCATGCTCCTAATATATTCCATTAACCAATAGTTTATAAGATTAAGGTGTAAATTTGTTCCAAAAATTTTCTCTCAAGAGCGATCGATAGGAAGAATTTTTTTTTTTGCGCAAATTTGTCATGAAAGTTTAAAATTATACCAATGTTGCCCTCTACCATTAACAATATTAAAAGTCAATGTTATTGTCTTAACTTTCGACGTTAGTTTTTTAAAGTAGAGGATAATATTACTATAATTTTAAACTTTTAGAGTGAATTTGTACCAAAAAAATTTTAGATACCATGTGCTCCTAAATAAAAACTTTCAGAATAAATTTGTAACTTAAAGCCTATTTTATATTGCATCCCAAATGAATAGGTTCATGACCTAAGAGTTCTTATGATGGTTAGGTGGGACAGCAAGAGAACGCCATATAGATTTAATCTCTTACTTTTTGGCCAGACAGTTCAATCTCCTGTAAAAGCTTTGCCCTGTATCTGCGTATGCTCTTAATTTGGAAAAATATCATCAATTTTATTCCTGATAATAATTTGTTGTGATTTATTGGAACAAAATGAAAAATCTGGGTTAAAAGTGTTCAACATTCAATGGGTCAAAAAAGTTCTTTATAAAAATAAAATTTTAATTTCTAAATATTATTCATCCATTACTTGAACTCAAAATTTTCTTGATGGCCCAAAAAAAAAACTCAAAATTGTACTTGACATAAAGAGGAAATACAATCATTTTCAATTGAGCTAAAAGAGATGAACCAACCCGAACCTATGATGGTAAAGTTAATAGTTCATACCCTTTGTGGATGTGAAAAATTGCGTTGGGAAAACTAGGTCCGCCCGCTCAGATTTGGCAAATACTCCAATCTATTCTAATATCACTAGTCCTCAATATAAAAAATAGATAATTAACCTGCGAAAATTAAAAAATTTAGCTAAGTTAGTTATTCCTAAAATATTCCTATTAATCATGTGTATTAAACTTATCATTTGATAAAAAAATTCTTAGTATATAATTATCATGGGGATTACTTAGAGACAAAATAGATAAATATTAGAGACAAAATGAATTAGGATCTTATATTTAAATTTAAATTGGATCTCCAACTAACCTTTATATTAATGACCAAAAATAGTAATCTCATGTACCATGTGGGCTATATTAAAAAGGAAAAAAAAAAACAGGTGCTGGGAAATATTAGCAGAACAAAACAACAAAATTTGATCTTATTTTGATTTGGATTTTGATTTATGTCATTTTAACGATTTCGATCTTTCTTTAATTTTAGTAAAATAGTTAAAGGTTAACATCACTCTTAGTCCTAAATCTTACTTTTATTTTAGTTTTAGTCCATAAAATTTGACGTCATTTTTATGCATTTAAAGATTTTTAATTAGTCACTACAATGGTGTTTTTGATCCCTGAAATATGGTTTTAAGTACCACAATTATTAATTTTAAATTTTAAGAACCCAAAAATAAAATGAAGTTAAATTTTAGGAACTAAAGATATTATTTTAACCCAATGGTTAAAAATGATTTGTATTTAGAAGTATAGCAAACATGCGAACAAACTTAGAAATTGAAGAAGTGAAGGATTTCGCCTTTAACCCTTACTTGGTTCTTTTTTTTTTTTTTTTTGACTACCTATGGATGTTGTCTTATTAAAAATAATTCTATTTAAGACATTGTCGCCCATAAAAATATTCATGCTCATCAAACCGGGACGAGACTGGATGTCTCGTGAATGGAGAAATAGGATTAAAAAGAAGAAGCAATTGCACATTGATGAGGAGAGAGGGGGGGTTAATTATGAAACCACACTGATGTTAGAGGATATTTCAACCACACCTGACACGCATAAGATGGTAGCATTTTGATGTTTTCCAATCCTTGAAATCTTGTGAAGCGTAAAGAAACAGAGAGAAGAAAGAAGCAACATCAAATTAGGGGCTACGCAGCAGACGTTCTTCAATGAGGTGATCTACAAGAGTTAAATTTTCAACATCCAATACATTCACCTGGCCCTATTTTTCAATCGCAAAACAAGGGGTAAAAAGCCCATAATCTATTATGTCTAATATGGAACCAAAATTTAAACACAGAACAAGAAGTTTATATGAATCCATGAAACCAAGAATACTAATGCCCCGTTTGGCAGCAGGGAATTGAAGGGAAGGAAGTAGCATTAAAAGTGGAACCCATTATTTTGTGTTTGGTACGTGTGAAGTGGGTTCCTAGTAGAAGTGGGTTCCATCAAAATCTGACGGAACTGAGTTTCTTGGGTACTCCCATGAAACTGCGATGAGTTCTTTAGAACTGAAATTTTATGACCATTCTATCCGTAATCATTTTATCAACGAACAAATTTGCCTATCTTGATTATGCTCGTATCTTACCCCTTCTCCATCAGACTCGACGGCATCTCCTCCTGTGGCGTCCATCTCCAACATTCACCGCGTTCCCTTCTGGCTTCCCCTTTGATCTTATATTCTCCCTTCTTGCTTCCTCCTCCACCTTCGGCAATGCTGACCTCACAAGGATGATGACGACGAGGCAACACTGACCTTGAGACGATGACGAAGCTTACGGTTGCAGGGGTTTTAAGTAAAAGTGTTCAATAATGTCCCGTCCTAGTGTTCCATCAAGAGCTGAGCAACAGGTGGGATGGGTTAGCCCAAAGTTAGCCCATAACTTGTCCATTTATAAATAAATGGGCATGAGTTAGCTCATAACCCAGTAGCAACTCATTTAAACCCGTATTAAATGGGTTAGGGGACAGTCTGTTTGGGTTGAACGGGTTATGAGATAACCCATTTAGTTTTCTATATATTTTATTTTTTGCAGTTTTTTCGGTATAGTTATCTTATATGCAACCTTATGAAACTGTCAATAAATTTTGCATGCCAAATAACAGACTAAATATGAAATAACATAACATAATATCAACTATATCCAATCACGTAACATTACACAAAGTCATTGAATGAGAAATAATAATATTAAAAAAATTTAAACTTAAACGGGTAGATATGGGAAGCCCAATACCTTGCCCCACAGCTGTCCCATTTAATAGGCTACCCCGCCCATTTAAACCTGCCCATTTATAGTCTTTTATTTGGGCTAATTGGGTAGGTTTAAATAGGCAAAAATTTATTGGGCCACGAGTAGGCTAGCAAATATTGGGTTTCTTGTTCACCTCTAGTCTTGTCTCTGTCCTAGTCATTTTTGAATGGAACAATCCAGTCCTGAAAGTTTTTGGTACAGAACGAAAGTAGGATGAAACAAAATTGTTTCAGGGCGAGACACAGGATGGGGATGTCCCGCTCCAATTCTGTCCCAATATAGTGTCTTTATTTTTAGTTGTTATATATTTATTTTATTTACTACTGTAATAGTATTTTGATAATGATATTTATCAATTATTATTTTTTATTTATTTATAAATTGTTTTTGTATAACTTACATAATATTCTTTATAGTAAATATTTTAGATTTGTTTATTTTTTATCTCTTAATATTACAAAAAATATTTTTTTCCTTTGTTATTATTTTCTCATTTTTATCTATTTTCCTTACATAATTTTTACACTTTCTGTGTAATTAGTTTTCATATGAAAAAAATAAAAAAAAATTCTAAAAAAAAAAAAGATGAAATGTCCCTGTCCTATCATAATTATATCCATTCGGGACATTACTAGCACCGGGTAGGACACAGGACTGAATCGTTCCTATTCCGTCCCATGAACACTGTTAATTTCAACCTTCGACTTTGGTCTTATCTTTCCTTCTCTTCGTCTATTTCTTCCTGCAACGAACAAGGGAGAGAGATCGACATCTGGGTTTCTATAGAGAGTGTGTTTTCTACCATCAGGGGATTAGGGTTCTTCAAATCTACCGTCGACGCTGCATCCATCTTCTTCTTCTAGTTTTCTACAATATTTCTTGTTTAAATCTGGTGTTAATGGCCGCCGCCATTAACGGTGGCGAAGCTTTCTGAATTGTGGGAACCGGAATGGTGGCTAATATGGGTTGAGTTTTCTGACACTGGTCTTTTTTGAATTTATGGGCATTTCGATTTTTTCCTTTCATCATTAAGTGTGCTGTTCTAGTTGAAATTAAAACCCAGAAGAAATATTTCTCAAAACTTCAATTATCATGAGGGAATTCAGCTGCTCCAGGGAAATGGTTTGATCAAATTTTGCAATTGGAAGAATCCTAGTTCTGATTCCTGAATGGTTACTTCCCATCTGCGATCGATGGTATGATTCGGGGAGGAAGAGCTCCTTTTTTTCCAGCTGAGGGTGTTTTAATATTTTTCACATTATTAATATGTATTTCGATTGAATTTTATATCCCACTTTCATAATCATACCTCAAACACAATTGTTTGACAATTTTTCAAGTACGTCAACAAACCAGACTAATTCGAATTTATTAATTGTGAGTACTTTGAAGAATGGGATAGCTGATTAGGAAATTTAACGTTTTTCATGCCTAAACAGGAATCAAACCCCTAATCTTGATTAAAAAGAGATAAGCTCCTACTGCTCTACCACAGTTCACACGTCCCAGCTTATCTCAAACACAATTTTAATCTTACTTTCCTCTTCACTTTCACTTCTACTTGCATGATAGCTCTTCTAATATACCAAATCGGGTATAAGGTTGC